TCCTAACCCCGAAACTATCCTGCCGAGTACAACTTTGGCCGCCGCACCTCAGTGTCGGCCGAGTCCTTGCAGCCGTCAGCAGACTCAACCGAAAGCAACTGGACACCTCCCTACCACGAGAAGACACCCGAGCAGCTCTCCCGCTTGCAAAAAGCTATGGAGAACAACTTCCTTTTCAGCCACCTAGAAGATGATTCCAGCGCCCAGATCTTGGGGGCGCTTAATGAGAAGCCAATCCCGGCAAAAGACATTAAGGTATGTTAGCGAGGCAGCCCACAATAACCGCAGTAGTTTGTGCTGACCTTCGTCAAGGTTATCAGTCAAGGCGACGCAGGCGACTTTTTCTACATTGTCGAAAAGGGCTCTTTTGACTTTTACGTCAACAGCAGCGGTGCTCTGCAACCTGGTCCAGAGGGCATGGGCCAGAAGGTTGGCTCGATCCAAGCCGGAGGCTCCTTCGGTGAACTGGCTCTCATGTACAATGCCCCACGAGCGGCGACAGTCATCTCGGCCGAGGCGGGATGCGTACTGTGGGCCCTCGATCGCCTGACCTTCCGTCGGATTCTCATGGAGTCCACCTTTTCAAGGAGGCGCATGTACGAGAGCTTCCTTGAAGAAGTACCTCTTCTTTCGAGCCTCACACCATATGAGCGATCCAAGATTGCCGACGCGCTCGAGACTCGAAAGTTTGGACCCGGAGAAACCATCATCAAGGAAGGTGATCCCGGCAATGCGTTCTACCTTTTGGAATCGGGCGAAGCAGACGCATACAAGACAGATATTGAGGGCTCGGTGAAGCACTACAGCAAGGGAGACTTTTTTCGGCGAGCTGGCGCTGATGAACGATGCCCCGCGTGCTGCTAGTGTCGTCGCGACATCCGAGGTCAAGGTGCAAGCTTGGGCAAGAAGGCCTTTGCAAGGCTGCTCGGTCCGGTGAAGGCCTGCTTCGGAGGACGCAATATCAAGGGATCGAGACGGGTGTCGAGGACATGGATCCTCTGCAAGCCTCTTGATGGGCGACGGAGATCGCACGGAGATATTTGTGCTGCAGATGATGATAGCGCGATGCGCGGACTGTGACTCTCACCCCCTTTTTTTCTACTCG